CCTAGTGGTAAAACACTGTGTTAATTATAAAAACAATAAAGAGAAGGAAGAAAGGGAGGGAGAGGGAGAGAGCATCCCAGCTTCTTGGGATGAAACAGAAGCGTGTTTTAGTCCATGTATTGAAGACCACCAGTGTGAACAATATAATGAGACTCTTCGTAGAGAAAGAAATAAGGATATCAGAAAAGGTTCACCTGTTTCAGAATGCCTTCACTTTGAAGGCCTCTATTAGGATTGGTAGATTCAGAAAAGCATTTGATAAAAAGCAAGGAGCTGTTATTTGGCCAAAAGACTCCAAGGAATGGTGGCCCCCGTGTCTGTGATGCAAGCATTCTGGAGGCAGAAGTTCAAGGCCAGCCTGGGGTACAGAGGGAGACTTTGTACTGTTGTCAGGTACCCATAAGAGAAGACTACTCAGACATGGGCTTAAGCCAATAGAAAGTCTTTATTAGATGGCCGGCAACTACACTGGGTGTTCAGGATCCCAATGCAGCCCTGATCCTTTGTCAGGGCAACATTTGTGGATTTTTTTTTTTTGGTTTAATTTGTTTGTTTTATTCTTACAAGCATTGGTGTTTTGCCTGCATGTATGTCTGTGTTAGGGTCTCAGGTCCCATGGAACAGGAGTTGCAGACAGTTGTGAGCCACTGTATGGGTGCTGGGAACTGAACCTGGGTCCTTGGAAGAGCAGTTGGTGCTTTTAATCGCTGAGCCATCTCTCCAGCCCCAAGTGTAAGCTTCTAAGCACAAAAACCATATCCTGGGTTGACATATTTCCATTAACAAGAACAGTTAACCCAAAGTTTTAATACAGATAAAAAGTAAGGTTAGTACATTTAGAGACTTTTTCAGAATTATGAACTTTGATGGATCGGGCCTTTGTTTTCATTTTGGCAAGTGATGCTGTCTACATGCTGAGTTTTATGGCCTGAATGGTACTTTTCCATCATGGAGTTAATTGTGCAAAGGTCTGGGTATCTACTAAGGTCTGGAAGCCTGTTACAGTATTCTTAATTATTAAATATTGCATGCAAAATTGCCTTATTAAACTGTCAAAGACACCAGCAGCAGCAATGAGATAAATTGGCTTCGCAGGCTTCCTGATACTGGAGTGAAGGACACAATAGTAACTCTGCGACAACAGAATTCAGCCTGGGGCTGAAATGCAGCTCGGTTGATATAGAACTTGCCTATGAGCATAAGTCCTAGGTCAATCCTCAGTGCTACCCAAACCTGGGATGGTGTCACCTACCTGGAATCCCAGCCCTCAAGGTGGAGAGGCGGGAGGATCAGTTCAAGAATGGAACTGCACAGCAAAAGTAATGCAGGCTGTGCTGCATGGGATTCTGCACTTCAATCTAATTTTATATATATATATATATGTTCATTTATTTATTATGTATACAATATTCTGTCTGTGTGTATGCCTACAGGCCAGAAGAGGGCACCATACCCCATTACAGATGGTTGTGAGCCACCATGTGGTTGCTGGGAATTGAACTCAGAACCTTTGGAAGAGTAGTCAATGCTCTTAACCTCTGAGCCATCTCTCCAGCCCTTCAATCTAATGTAAAACAAACAAACAAACAAACAAACAAAAACCTAAATTAGGAACATTCTATCATGTAGTCAATTTTTCACAGCAGGAAAAGAAAGTCTAAAGATTGTTCCAGAGTAAATAAGAAGTAATGTTGGAGCCCCATTCCTACAAAGTCAGCTAGAGTTCCTGGAATGGGGGTTGTCAAGGTCAAAGGAATGTCAAATGAAAGAAACTGAGACGGAAGACACAGGGTAGAACCGGGAGGTCTGTTTGGCAGTCTGTTGGTCAAACTGAGCAGTCAACAGCCCAGAGTTTGCTTTAGAACTGATTTATATACAAAGGCAGAACAAAGCACAGCAGTCAGTCAGTCAGTATCTAACCACAAGATCATCCCTGTCCTTAAAGGAACAGCCTCCCATCTAACAAGTTTCGCAAGCAGCCTCACTTTCTATCTTGATGTTCCTGAGGTTTTGGCTTTCTACTAGATAAAGTGTTCTTTTCTCATGGGCTAACTCAGAAGTCTCTCACAGCCCTCAAGGTTATTGGAAAAAGTAGAGCAGACATGCTCAAACTCAAATGACTTCTTTAAGTCAAAATTGACTCCAGATGGAAACTGAGTCACATGTGGGCTCCCACAAAGTTAAAAGAAACAGGAGGGTCAAAACGATGGCTCAATGGGTAAATGCACGTGCTGTTAAGCCTGATGACCTGAGTTTGAACCCCAGGCCCCCACAAGGTAGATGGAAAGAATAATTCTCACTAGACTGGTGTGGGAGGTCCTTCTCTCTGTATTGCTTTTATTGGTTAATGAATAAAGAAACTGGCTTTGCCTATAGCATGGGAGGAGGAAGGCAGAGTTAGAGAGAAGCCATGGAGCCACCAGAGACAGAAGCTGGGAACTTTACCTGGTAAGCCACAGCCATGTAACGATAAACAAATTAATAGAAATGGGTTAAATTAATATAAGAGCTAAACAATAAAAACTAGAGCTAATGGGCCAAGCAATGATTTAATCAATACAGTTTCCATGTGATTATTTCTGGTCTAAGCTGGCTGGGTGGCTGGGAACCAACAAGCAGCCTCTGCTAACACTAGATGCCCTCTGAGTTCCACAATTCCCCTGCCTACATACATGCTCGCATACAAGCACACAAAAGAAAGTAAGAATATGAGAAACTAAAAAAAGAAAAGGGAGAGAGTTATCATTGGGTTGATAACAGTAATGTCCTCGGAGTTGATAAGAACCACCCACTGAATTCAGGCCAGCACTGTTTGTAACTGTGGTTTCATTACAAACAATTCATATCTGATTAGAAAGAGGACCTTTCTCCGAATAACTGACCTTCCCAATTTTGTTCTTCTTTGTTCTTCTCAATTAAAAAAAAATTCATATATATATATATATATATATATATGAATATATACACACACACAAGATATATATCTTGCTGTCAATAGTAGTATTTGTAGTACCTACCAGAAAAGGACATGGGATCCACTAGGACTGAAGTTACAGATGGTTCAGCCCCCAAGTGGGTGCTAGGAATTGAACTCAGGACCTCTGGAAGTGCAGCCAGTGCAGTGCTCTTAACCACTGAACCATCTCTCCTGCTCCTGATGCTCTAGAATACACTGTTCTACTGCCCGGTGTGAGGATAGTCCAGCAGTTCATCCTACAGTGATCTTTTAACAGCTCCATCCTGCCAGATGCCACAGTCCCTCAGCTCTTGCCCTTCCTTACTTTTCTGGAAATCCCTAAAGATGGGAGACATCTTTCCAACCCAGCCTTACTTTTTTTTTTCTTTTAATGTTTCCCAAGAACTGAGTACTTAAACCGGGGCCTTGTTCACACTAAGAAAGCATTCTACCAGAGGCATAGCCCTGACTCACCTTTTCTTCCCATGCTCCCCTTCTTGCTTTAGGCTGCTTCTTGGTCATTCGATTTGATGCCCAACACACTCTTCCAACATATTCAGTTAGTACCAATTGGTTCTCAGCCTAGGGTGGGATATCCCAATAGTAGAGATTCTTACTGACCATTCATCCATATGTTTCACAGGGTCTCATGTAGCTATAAGTAAAAAGCACTATCCAGAGTCAGGCTGTGGGGACCCACGCCTTTAGCCTCGGCATTTGAAAGACAGAGGCAAGCAAATCTGTTTGAAGTCAGCCTAGTCTACATATCGAGTTACGGGACAGCCTGGACTAGAGAGAAGAAAGGCCATGTCTAAAAAAAAAAAAAAAGGAAAACAGGCACACAAACTACCCAGGGGTAGAGAGATGGCTCAGTGGTTAAGAGGTTCTATTCCCAGCACTCACATGGCAGCCCACAACTGTCTGCAATTCCAGTTCCAGAGGATTTGACACTCTCTTCTGACCTCCTTGGACACCAGTCAAGCATGCGGTACACATATATACTTGTGCAGGTAAAAGTCCCAAAGAACAGGTCAAGTCTATCTAATTCAGGAGTGACATTCTAATTCGTGAGTTATCCAGTACCCACTGGTACCTGGTACGCCTAACTGAACATTTTACTCAGCCTAACCTTAGTGGGACACCGAAAGGACTGTCCAAGAGTAAGATGAAAAATATCCATTACATAAACCACTTGCGGAAAACTTAGCTTAGAGAAGCTGAATGCAATTTTCATTATCAGGGCTAGAGAGATTACTCAGTAGGTTTGATGCAAAGGCATGTGTCTAATCTCAGCATTCCTAGAACAGAGACAAGAGAAGCCTGCAGTATAGCTAGTCTAGGGTACATAGCACGGCAACAAAAGGAAGTCCTGTTTCAAACAAGATAGAATACTAGGATCAGGACCAGCATTTAAAGCTGCCCTCTGACCTCCACATCCATGCAGTGGCATGTGCCTGCCCTCAAGCACAAACATGCCCACACATAAATTTTTTAAGATTTTCTATTACTTTTAATTACGAGCAGGTATGTGTATCTGCAAGCAGGTATGTGCACTTGAGTGCAGGTGCCCACTGAGATCAAAGGCATCAGATTCCCCTACGCTAGAGTCACAGGTGACTGAGATGCCTGGTGGGGGGGGGGCTGAGAACTAAACCCTGGTCCTCTGGAAAAGCAGCAAGTACTCTTAGCGCTGAGCCATCTCTCCAACCCCATCAGTAAAAATTTCAAAACTAAAATTTCAGGGCCAGTGCAATGGTTCAGCAGGTACCTGATGACCATGAGTATGATCCCTGGAACCACAGTGGAAGGAGACAACCAACTCCTACAAACTGTCCTCTAACCTCCATGAACACATCACAGCATGCATATACATGTGCGCGCGCGCACACACACACACACACACACACACACACACACACACACAGACACATGCCATTCACAAATAAATATATGTAATTTTAAAAATGCAATGGTCTATATCATCTTTCAGCCATGTAAACATAGAAGACCACCTCTCGAATTATGTGTTCAGTTCTCCCAAGAATTCATCTGTTGCACAGTAATGGTTATATTTTATAAAATCAAATTAATACATTCTTTCCACAAACACAAAATGAAAATCAAGGCATCTATCAAACTTGCAGTCCTTGTTTTCCGAATTCAGCAGTTGATCACGACTGGGGTCCAGGCCCACCAGTCCATGACTTCAGATAGTCCGTGATCCTCTGAGTGACTAAGATAAAATTGTTTGGAGACTTTACAAACGACTGCACATAAGACCCTTCAAGGGGCTCACTTATTTCCCTGTCTAAGTCAGCGTCTTCGCATGTAGAACGAGGTGCTTCATCCTTCCAGCCATCCTTTTGTTCTTCTCCACAACCTTAAAAAAAAAAAAAAAAGGAAAAGAACCTGAATTACTAATTAGACATCAGTCATTAAAGTCGTGAACATAAAACAGGGCATGATTCTGCCATCAGATGTCTATTGCCATTATCTTTCTTTCGGAAAGAAAAATCAGAGACAGAAAAGGGCATACATGATGACCATGATATATGTGAACTTATCCGCTAACCACCTTCATGATCAAGTAGAATTTCCAGTTTTTACACAATAGTTTGAGATGTACCTAACATATCATACATATTCCTTTTAGAAAGCACAATTCAGTGATTTTTTTTAGTCTATTCGGTCTGAGCAACCCAGAACCACAATTGATTTAGAGTATGTTCAGGCACTAAGGGCCTCCTTCCATCCTCTCTAACATTCCAGTCCCTAGCGCTTACACTAGGGACTTTCGTATTCCTTCCATTTGACTTCCAACTGACTTTCGTATTCCTTCCATTTCCAGCACGTATTGGAAGGTTCGGGAGTTCCTTTTCCACCCAATAACTGGGATGATCTTAATACTTGCTCGCCGGTACGCGACAGGGTCTCAAGAAAATGAGAGCACTCGAGCCTCTGGGATCCACCCACTACACAGGTGAATTCACGTATTCCAAGTGAATATGGGGACAGTGTTAATCAGTAAGTAAGATCCAGGTGGCAATACTTAATAGTTCCTGGAGAAATCTTTCTCTCTGCAGATTCCATCCGTAAATTACCTAAGTACCCGCTAGCAGTAGTTTTGCACTACCCCAGGGTTCAAGCAGAAAAGGTCGTCGCTTCGGTGACTTTCAGGGCGACGAGCCGGAAGCGGAGGCTGAGAGGCCGATCTCGTCGGGCAAGGGAACCCTACCTGGCTCCTTCTGGTTCCGTGTAAGGAAAATCACCGAGCCCAGCACCCACCAGGCGCCGATTGCGTAGACCATAGACATCCGCCGGTACCAAAAGGTAGCCTGTTCAGGACGCATGGCTCCACAAAGTGAGCCGCCGAGTTGGCGTGGAGGGCGGCCTTCCAATCAGTGTGTTGCAGCGGCCACCAATAGGTGGCCAGCCCTAGGCTACTTCCTGCTCCGACCGCAATGCATCTAGGGACTAGTAGTCCACAGTTAATTCAGGCTCGGTCTGAAGTTATATAGGGGACTATAGTTAGAATCTTAGCTGCCTGCTGGCGACTACACTGTATACTATGTGATGGGGAGAAGATGGCGACTTGAAACTTCCTCTCTTGTAAAACCTGACCTCCATGTATCAGACGGTATTTAAAATAGTTGACTTCATTTCCTTTAACAACTGTCAGATTTTGGAAGACACTGTGTCCGCAACTCGCTTTTCTCCTACGTACCTATCTGGAACTCTAGGTCTAGTTCTTTGGAGCTCTCTTGGTCCTGTCCCAGTTACACCCTATCACCCACCACTCCGGCTTATCACCCTATTGGTTTTCATCCTCCTTCATACAAAGGTGTACACATCTCAAAAAAGAAAAGCCTTCGAATCCATCAACTGCTTTTCTTATTCAAACACTTCTTTCAAGCATAATTTATCCGCACGCCCGTAGACCCGTATACTGAATAACCGGAGCGGGCTGGTGCACCTGCGTTGACCCTTTTCGTCCTAATTCAAACTTGACTTCTAAAGCAATTGACACCATTGACCCTGCCACCCTTCCCTGGTGGCTTCAGAAACATTCTCCCTGTTATCGTCCAGGGCCCCTTTTACACTTATGTTTACTCTATAGAAATATATACCTATAACATTTAACTCACAGAGGACTGTGTGTTTAAGTCTAAAAGCTATCATAAACCTAGAAGCAAGCACAAAAGAAAAATCTTTGCCATCCTGGAATGGGCGAAGATTTCTTGGGATACAAAAAGCATGAACCACAAAATGAACGCTGATTAATTGGACCTAAAAGTCGTCGCTGGGAAAAAAGAAAACAAGCCACTGAATAAAAAAATTTAAGGTCAGAGGCTGACATCAGGTTTCTTCCTTAATCGCACTGCATCTAATTCTGTGACAGGGTCATCGGTAAGCCCAGGGCACCTCTTGTCTCCACTCCCTAGTAATGGAGTCTCAGGTGCTCAGCTGTGCCTGCCTTTTCATGTGGGCGTTGGGGTCAGACGCAGGTCCTCCTGTTTGCTATGGAGCCAGCTCCCCAGCACAGCTGAGCGGTTGCAGTTCTTACTGATGAGAGCAGAAAATGTTATATTGGCTTTACAAAGCTGGCATACCCTTTTTTTTTAAGACTTATTTTTCTTTTAAAAAGAGTATATGTGTGTAAGTGTGTGCCACATATACATGGGTGCACATGGAGACCAGAAAAGGACATCAGACCCCCTGGAGCTGGAGTTACAGGTGGTTATGAGTTATCAATTGGGGTGCTACGACCACGACCCAGGTCTTCTGGAGGAACAGCAAGCTTTCTTGATGACTAAGCTGTCTCTCCAGCCCCTAAGGCTGAACACACAGCAATCTTACAATCTATTCCACTCTACTCCATTCCTGACTTCCTCAAGAGAAAAGCCATGTCCAAAGAGACCTGTGCACAGTGTTCAGACATATTTTATTCATAGTAACAAGAGTAGAAACCACTCAAATACCTGAGTAAAAATTAGATAAAAAGTTATATACCACTTAGCAATATGTATCAATCTTAGATGAATTAGGGTAAATGAAAGACAGACATAAAATCTAAAATCAAACTGATAAATAGAAGGGGAAAGTCTATGGGTAACACATATATTTCATCTAGTGAGACTGACTGAATTGTATGCTTAACTGGGTAAAGTTAGTGTATGTAAATTATATCTCAATGCAGTTGTAAAAAGCAAAATAACTGTATTATTTCCACTTGCCTACTTTCAAGGGTAACAAGTCTATCCAGAGGCTCTGCTGCATACAGATCCCTAGACCGTCAGCTTTCTGAGCACCTCTAGTGTGTACATCACACAAGTTCCTGAAAATGGACAGAGCTGAACTATATATAGACTATATATATATATATAGTCTATATATAGACTGCTATACCTGAGAAACAAACTTTCTCTTCCTGTCCCTTAACTACGGCAATGAATGTATTGATCCCTCCCTCTGATAGCTCATCCAACTCTGAACACTTTTCTCTCCCATCCCTTCCTGCCATTCAAGTCCTAGCTTTTCAACCTCAACTGACCATTTTGGCCCCTGCCTGAGGTAAGTCAGAGGCCTGCTTTGGTTTCAAACAGAGCTCAGGGTCTTCATGCGGGACAGTGGGCTCAGTGGTATCCACTTAAGTGAGCATCTGCTCCTCGCCCCCCTGGAACCCAGAGGTCTGTCTTCTCTGTCACTCCGTGTTGCTCTTATCTCATTCTATTGGAAAGAATACCTGCCCGAGCTGGAATTATCATATGCTTTCTTCTGTTCATTTGTAACAGATAGGTCCAATAAGGAAATTTAGTTCTAACCCACTTAATTTTAAGTACCCTTCTATAAGATGTGTCTCAATTGAAAATTACATAAAAATAACCTCTGGAAAAGGAAATATTATATAAACTCTTTTATCAAAACTATAACTGTTACACAGTAAATACTTCTAAAGCATAGAGCAGACAAGGTACGCAAATCTGAACTCAAAAGGTGAAACACTATAATCAGTTTGGTGGCCCAATATCCAATTCATTCTTATTCCCTTTGGGGCTGCTGAGATGGCTCAGTAGGTAGAGGCACTAATTGCCAAGACTGAGGGCCTGAACTTTATTGCTGGGACCCACAAGGTGGAAGGAGAGAACCACCTCCTGCACAATGTGCCCTAATCTCCAGGGGCATGCATGCATATTCTTGCTCTCCCTCCCTCTCTCCGTCCCTCCCTCTCTCACTCCCTCTGTTACACACACACGCGCACACGCACACACACACACACACACACACACACATAAATCAGTGTTAAAAAATGATGGCTTGGGAAGTTTTCCTTCAGTGGCACGAGAAATGACTGACGCTAAACCCTGCAGGAAGGAGGGGTGCAACAGTGCTACCTGGCTCCAACACGAACAACAGTTACATCATCACAGACTCTGTGATGGACGGATGTTTCCTTTAGTTTTTGCAGTCAACTTCCACAGGGGGAAAAAATAGAATTATGGCTCATAGGTTAGAACACGTATAAATCTTGATAACATAAAAGTAAAAGTCAAGCTAACAAAACTGGAGGGTAGGGAGGAATTTCTTAACATCCTCATAGAACAAAAGCAGGAGCTGAAAGACAACGGCTAAAAGCAAATGCATCACCAACAAAACACATGGAAGAGAAGAACTGCCCTGGGTTTAGGAAATGGAGGGAATTTATTTAATGTAAACCCTTTAGGATAAAGTTGCTTTGTTTTGACATGTGTATGACACACATATATACATAAATGCATACACACACATACACATTTATGGATAAAATTTTAATTAAAAACAGTACTCATTCCAGGTAGTTTGTTTGGTGTCCAGGATAAATGTGTCTTTACTCTGTTGAATCCTCTTAGGCCCATCAGCAAGCATTTCCTGAAGTCCACCTGGGCAGTTACCAATCAGGGTAACTCAGCCCTGCAAACCACAGCAACAAAGGTCTTGCTTCACACATTTCATACTATTCCCAGTTTAGATGATGAGAAGATCAAGGTCAGAAAACAACCCTTGAGGAATACCCCCCACCTCTCTCACACACACCCTCTCTCTCATACACACCTTCTCTCTCACACACCTGCACATATACACACCCCTCTCTCACATATACTCCCCCCCACACACACACTTTTTGGCTATCACACACACTCTCACACACACACACACACATGCAGAGATAAAATCTGCGTCAGTATTATTTTGGCCAATGCTTTTCTCATCCAGATTTATTTCCTTTGTGATCATCAAGGTTCACTTAAACAAGCAGCCAAAAATACATAAACTCTGATTTTACAAAGACTCTAAAACATTAAAGTACAAAAAGTAAGTAAACATCTACAATCAGCAGAACATTTACGACCTTATATAATCTCACGTGTAGGAAAACAGGCAGAGAAGGAATACAAATAAATTATAACCTGAAGATGTATTATAACCTGAAGATATACATATAAAAATTCTTTGGGTTATTTATTAGAATCTTCCAGAAAGATGAAAGGAATGTTGCTAAGGTGATATTAACAGTGTGAGGATAGTCTGACAGTCCTGTCTTCCACTTCCGGGCTGCACTGTTAGTTTAAGAGGCACTGGACACAGCCAGCTTCTTCAAGTGATCCATAAACACCTGCAGGCTGACATCGTCTGTCAGGATGGGCGCTCCAGTCTCCTGCAACACAACCACAAAGGCTTACTGACAAAGACCTCAACAGCCACGCGCGATTCCCAGCTTGGTGCCTTCTGCCTGAGAACATTCATAGGTGTCACCTTCGTTCCTCACCACCCTGTCCTCTGCCTAGCTAATTCCATTCACCAGAAGCATGCTTTTCTCTAAACCCTTCCCTGAGATCTGGTCATTCCTGCCCGCTGCCAACAGTGTACGATATATGCCGGTCTACTTCATCCCTTCCCAGAGTCCTACAGATCCTCTCAGATCATCCAGGGCCCACACCAGTTGTGAGCACTCCGGTCTGTACAGCATCCCGACATGGAACACAGCAGTGCCGGCACCGCGTCTATCTCTAAAGTGCTGTGCTGTAACGGAAAGGTGTCACAGGCAGGAGAATGGGTGACACTACCAGGAGACGGTGTTTGTGATTTAATTAATTCTCGAGAGGAAAAGACTGGGTAGAAATGGCAGTTTGCACCAAGATCTCAAATTTGTAAAGGAATAACATATATACATCATGAAATATTTAGTTTCTATTACCTAGGAATAGTGGTTTGGGGTAATTTCTTTCTTTCTTTCTTTCCTAAAATCCAGTATTCCTGAGCAAAAATCTATGATGATAGAGGTAGGACAGTTCCAAGTACATTATACAGCCACAGTCACAGAAACGGATGAGTTACATTGCATTACCTAAGCAATGTCTTTATTAATGTCATTGCAAAGAAAATT